CTTACCCTTAAGGACAATCCATCCTCTTAAGGATCTCGGAGTCTAAACCTAGAGCTTTTGAGAGAATTTGGAAGAGCAAGCTCCCAATTCCATTACATGCTTCGTGTATTCGATCACCGCACTCCTAAATCATCATATTGAGAATTAAAACACTAGAAAAGGAAATTGTTTTACTAATGTAAACACTAGTAGCATAATGACAACAAAAAGTATAATACTATTAATCACTTTAACATTTTACCTGCAAGCTAGTGGAATTTCCTCTGGATTTGGAGGATCTGGAGCAATATAACAAGTGAAAGAGTCTCTCCAATTCATAGGAGAAGAATGATAGAGATCGAAATTATTGTTATAAACAAATCTCTTGTTGATGATATCGGTAGGAAGATATTGATTCTTGACCTCTGGATCTTCTTCATGAAACCTTCGAACACTTTCTTTGATCTCTTCAAGAACAGTTAAAGGAACACCATGATTTATCACTTGGAAAAATCCCCACTTCTCAGCTGCGTCTTTAATCTTCGAAACGACAACGTTTCTTGCAGATGTGTTACCATATCCGAGGTCGATGATTGGGACGGTGAGGTTTAAGCCGGTGATATCGGAAGGTCTGTTGTTAGATAAAGTTGAAGAAGGGACATGGAAGATTCGAGGAACTTTGGTTATTTCGGCATCGACGAGTCCTTTGACTCCTGTCTTCGTTGAGATAAAATTTGTAAGTTCGTTCACACGATCGATTTCTTCTGTCATGTTTCTGTTTTTTTTTTTTCAAGATTCCTTTTTTGGTTGTTAAAGAAGAAGAGGAAGATTCAATTTAAGACAGAACTCAGAAGTAAAGATAAGTGTTGAAGTGTGTGGTGTCTGTAGGACTTGTTTGTTGACTGAGATTGAGAGCGACGTATTGTGTAATTGTGGAAGGAGTTCAAAGGATCAAAAATGACTTTCTAGAGATTCCGACAGAACTAGAAAGTTGAAAAAAATCTTAAAATTTTAAAAAGAGAAAACGTAAAAAAGAAAAAGAATGGAGATGCGGGGTATCGATCCCCGTACCTCTCGCATGCTAAGCGAGCGCTCTACCATCTGAGCTACATCCCCATGACATGCCCTATTACCAATTGTAAGATATAAAATGTTTTGGAATTAATATGAGTGAAAGAAACAAACTTTATGAAGTACTGTTGATCAAATTTATGTTTCTTATTCAGTACCGTCTTGTTGATTGAAACCAACATTTATATGGATCTTTAAATACTTAATGATTATGGAAAAAAAAATACTTAATGATTAAAATATGTTTAATTATTACTCAGTCTGTTCTTAAAAGATTTGTTTTCGATTTTTTCTGTTTGTTTTCCACGAAAATTGAATTTTTAGTTTTTTTCTTTATTTTTACTGAATTATATTAATTATTAATTAATCATAATCCTCAAGATGCAATGATCGAAGATAATTAACTTTGTTAGATTACTATTGGTTGATAATTATTTAAAAATATTTAATATTAAAATAATGTTAAAATGATTAAATAATGATTGAGTGCTTAATAAATGTTTAAAAAAAAAAACCAAAACTATTAGGAACAAAGAGAAGATTATTTTTTAAATAGTTTAAATTTTTTTTCCAATGTTTTAATATGTTTGTATGTTTGATCTAATTTTACATAGTGCTTGCAAAAATATTCAAAATTTGAGATCCAATCCAATATTTGATCTTATCCGATTAGAAGAATAGGGCATACTTAAAAGATTTTTTTTTCTTTAGTAGCTGGATCCAAATAATTTGATAAAATGATCAAATCTCTATATATTGATTAAATCAATTTGATTCGAATCATTTTTCATATATATATATATATATATATTAATATTAAGTATATATATACTTATTAAGTATATATATATATATATATTAAGTATATACATATTAAGTATAAAATTTATAAATTTTCTATAAAAATAGATTAATATCTCAATATATCCTCCCAAGAATATTTATATATCTTTTATAAAAGTCCCATAATAATATGTTACTAGGATATGACCCGCGGTATACCGCGGGTTAATTATTGGATTTTTTTTTTATCTTTTTATAAATTGATGAATTTGTTGTGTATAATATTTTTTGTTGTACACCGCGGATCACATGCGTTGTAACTAAAAAATAAAAATTTTAAGTTATATTTATTTTGTTTAGTGTTTAAGATTATATAATTCTATTTTGATTTGTTAATTCTAGGATTTCAGCCGTAATATATTGTCCCGTATTAATATCAACCCAAACCCGTCCACCATATAATCCCGTCCTGTGAAATTAAACATTATTTTGTTATTTTTTTAATAACACTTTTATTTAAAAGATATATAATTCGAGTCAATTTAAAAGTTTGATTTCAAATGGTTTCCATAATATATATAAATTATTGTGTGTATTTGGACCAACCCGTAAAAAAGAATTTATAATTCTATCTTAAAATACTAAATAATTGTATCTTGAGTTGTCAATTTAATGATTTCACCCGTGGTATACTGTCCTGTTTTAGATACATATAGAAATTAAAGAAAGATCCGATTGACTCAATTCTTGGTCAGAATAACAAAAACGACCTGATTAAATGCTAAATTTTAAAAATATTCCTATCCCCTTTGCATCGACCTGGATATTAAATCTCTTTATGTTAATCAAAATATGACATACACTATTTTATTTAATCATCATTTAACGCCTCGAAAAAGTTATAAAACGGCTCAAATGGGCCAACATGGGCCTTGAGGACTTCAACTCTGACGCTGAACTCCACTTAACGGGCCACACACACTTCGTCTCCAAGCTTTCGACCAAAAGAGATTGAGCGATTCGCAGACTCGAGGACGCGACTGTGAGAGAGAGAGAGAGAGAGAATGGTGTCGTCATCATCGAGAGGAGAGATGGAGAAGATGGGAATCGATCAGCTGAAGGCGTTAAAGGAGCAAGCAGATCTGGAAGTGAATCTCCTTCAAAATAGTCTTAACAGCATCCGTACAGCCACCGTCCGTCTTGATGCCGCCGCCGCAGCTCTCAACGATCTCTCTCTTCGACCTCAAGGTTTTGTTTATTTCACCTCTCGTTATTCAAATTGATATTTTCAACGATGGATGATGATTTGAAACAATTGAAAATTGTAGGTAAGAAGATGCTTGTACCACTGACTGCTTCTCTATACGTTCCTGGGACACTTGATGAAGCTGATAAGGTTTTGGTTGATATTGGCACTGGTTACTTCGTCGAGGTAATGAGAATTGGATTATGTATGAACTTGTTCTATTAGGCTTGTTCTTGTGTAGCTAAGTATTTTTTTGTGTTTGTAGAAAACAATGGATGATGGAAAAGATTATTGTCAGAGGAAGATTCACTTGCTCAAATCAAACTTTAACTAACTTTTTGAGGTAATCTAACTCGTTTAGCAATTTTCAAATGCCTGATTTGTTTGTTTAGATAGATTCTGAGATGGGAGAATAAAGAATTAAGCCTACACTTTTCTTTCATACGGCTTATTGAGTATGTCTTTCAACTGTCTTTTTATAGAAGAATAACACATTTCTTATGAACATTAACAAATATTGTGAAATGAGTAAGTGAAAAGGAGTTTTTAAATTGAATGAGTCTGATTCTTATTAGGGGTGAATCTTTTTGGAGTTCTTTCAGTGACTTGATCCATTGTAGAAAAATGTTTGAGGGATGGCTGCGATGGAATGCAATTGATGAAATTTAAAGTCTAATTTGTTTCTTCCTTTAGCGTCACAATTACATTGAATCTGCACTGCAAAAATACAAAATCTTGTTTATACATTTGTCTGACTATTACTGGGGGTTTTGCAAACCATAAAGCAAATATGAAATGAAACAAAGGTAAAGTAAACATACCTTTTTAATATGCTTTTATGACATATCATTCCAGCAGGATTATCAGTCGATATTCTGGAAAACCTCTTGCTGCAGCCATTTCTTCTTGGTAAGTGTTTATGTTTTGAAGCTGTAGATTGACTCGGTATTGTTGTAAAGCGTGCAGAGGTGCAATGGAAATGAGACAGTATATATAGAGGTTTGACAGGTATTAGGGTTTTGGGATAGATTACATAGGAAATCTTAATTAGCACGGTTTGGATATCTAAGAAAATATGTAAATCGGCATATACGGTGAACAAATAAGGATAATATCTTTTGGTTAGAAGTAGTTGACAAATATTGAATGTGGAGAGAATATTGAATTGATATTCTTACCCTTTTTTAGGAAAACTAAATGATTTATAATGTAGTAATAACTGTTGAATATACGCAATAATCAATCATAGTAATTGTTAGGATTTTGTTGTTTTGGAAAGTATTATTAGTAGGATACAATATTATTAACCCGAAATTCTTGCCTTTTTTTTGGAAAGTTTCATTATTTGGATCCGTAATCAAAATTTGCGGGTCATTTAGTCGGGTCAAAATCAAAAATCCGGGTCAAAATCTTAGTAATTACCCGACCCGATTTGGGTACCCCAAAAACTGCTGCAAAAATGTATAGTAGATTCTAAAAGCTTTGTCAAAATAGTGCTCTAAAATGTTTATGAAAACCAACTTGAAAAATACAGTAATGTGATAGCTACTTTGTATTCAATTTAATTTGTATTAAAAAATGTACTTGTATATTATTTTAATTTTTTTAAAAACATTTGTTATAACACG